AGGGATCTGCTTCCCCTCCTCGTCGACGACCAAGAACCACGCCTGCTACTACCCCACCGGCGACGGGGAGCAGATCTTCCAGCTCTACTTCCCCGCAGACACGCCGGACGACGCGTGGGGCGCCCTGTCCGCCGATGAGGGGCTGCGGCAGTGCTCCGAGCTGGCCGCCAAGCTGGAGGGGGACGGGTGGGACGCGTCCTTCGTCGAGCCGCTCCGCTCCGCCGAGAACGTGATCCGGGTCGGCCTCTTTGCGCGGGAGCCGCTCGACGCGTGGGCGACGCCGTCCGGGCGCGTGATCCTGCTCGGAGACGCTGCGCACCCGCCGGTGCCCTACATCGGGCAGGGGGCGATGATGGCGATGGAAGACGTCGGGGTGTTGGCGAGGCTGCTCAAGCACCACTGCCGCGTCGGCGCCGCCGCCTTCGACCCTTCCGACGCCAGCCTGAGTGCCGCAGCAGCCTCGTACCAAGCGCTGCGCATCCCGCGCGTGCGGACGATCCTCGGCTCATCCCACACGCTCGGCAAGACGCAGCAGGTGGGGGGGGGGGTAGCTCCTTCAGCCTCGCGTGTCATACGGTGTTTCGCACGCGCTCGACGGTTAAAGTATTGAAAAGTACCTTAACCACTTGTGTGTGTTGTTTGAGGCGTTCGCGGTTCGGTGTTGTTAATCCCTGGTGTGGACGATTCTTTTCGCGGTATCCGCGGCGCGCGCGGGATATGGCGGGATATGGCGGGATATGGCGGGATACCGGGAGATACGGGGAGATACCGGGAGATACCGGGAGATACGAGATACGGGGAGATGCGGGGAGATACGGGGAGATACGGGGAGATACGGGGAGATACGGGGAGATACGGGGAGATACGGGGAGATGCGAGGAGATGCAAGGAGATACGGGGAGATACGGGGAGATAGAGGGAGATAGAGGGAGATACCGCAAAAGAATCGTCCGCACTAGGGCTGTTGTACGGTGACGGGTGTGACCGCAGTCCGCAGAGTCTGGGGCAGAGGGACCGCGGTCACGCGATGACACGAAGTAGAGCCACAAGATAGACGATCCAACAACCCCAACTTCACACGCCCCCGCGCCTCAGTGTAACACCGTATCCCCCCCCTCACACACCTATCAACCTTGCAGCAGCTCAAGCGAGCCGTCCCGGTGCGGCAAAATTGAGATGCGGCCTGCAGGGACCGAAAGGTCGCCGACCTGATCACGGCTGCCGGCGCCTCGGCGCCGGCCGACGCCGTGTTCGGCGGCAGGTTCGCGACGGGCGAGACGCCCCGCTCGACGACCTCCGCCTCCGAGGCGGACGAGGGCGACGGCGTCGGCGGCGATGGCGGGACCAACATGCACTTCGACCTGTTCGAGCCGGACCGCACCCCCATGGAGGACCTCTGAGGCCCTCCCCAGTCTCCCCCCACCTTATCTCTGCCCCCCCCTCCCCCCCTCCCTCTGCCTCCCATAGGGCAGGATAGCACTAGCATGTGCGCACTGGGCCCACACAGATGTGACCCGCCCACTCGAGTGCGGGGCGCCCGGATGCTAGTGCTTGAGAAGACACCACAAACGCGGCACGGCCCGTTTTGGCTGTCTGCGGAGAATCTGTCTTAGCACACACAGCTCACGGCTCACCTCCACGTGCACCCCAGTCCCCACCGGGCAGTGCACTTCGCAATAAAACCACCCCGGGGCCAACCGTCTTCGGTTTCGTCGGTTCCAAGTGCACTAGGAACCCACGAAACCCGAATAAAAAAACGTGTACCCCCTTCGAGTGTATCTCGAGTGTTGCTATGGAGCGTCCGGTTCAACACGCGCTCGCGCGCTCGCGTCTGCTGGCGCCCAGAGAACACGTTGCACCTCATGCTCCCGGCGGAGCCCAACTGCTCGCACTCGACAAGGCAGTCCATCCACTCGCGGCAGCTGAAGTCGAACTTCCACTCGATGCGGCTCGCGCCGGGTTGTGAGCTCGGCGAGCGAGGTCGGAGAGCGACCTCAGTTGGCCCAAGCCGCACGCCACTGAGGCAGAGCGGCCGTGCGCGTACGACGCCGTACGCGCACGGCCACTCTGCACCGACCGCAGCGCTGCATTGCGACCGCAGAGGCTCAGCTCAGCCAGGGCTCGCTCGCCCGAACTCGGAGCCGCCGGCGGTCATGGGCAGCAACAAAGGTTTGACGCGTCGCTCGGTGCAGGAGGGCACTGCAGTAGAGGTGCAGAGGCCGTCCAGCATGCGCGCGATGGGCTACGGCTTCATTGGCAGCTACCAGAGCGCGTCTGGAGCGCTGCCATTGTGTGACCCACGTCCAAGCGGCGCTTCCGGCCTGTTCCGCGCCTCTTTTCACGCTTTTCATTGGAGAGGGGGGGACGAGGTCTCATCAACTTCGAAACCGCCTTTTGAAAGGGGGGAAATGCGTCCGTCCCTGAGCGGGTTGAGGCGGGGGTGGTTTTATTGCGCTACGCGCCGGCGCTCGGCGCACCCAAGTCCAATCTGGAGTTGATCGTTGCTTCCCTTTCGCGAGGCGGTGCGGACTGCCGGAGGCCTCGGTCTCCCCTCTGCCCGTGCGACTTTCGCTAACTCCCGCGAGCGTAGATCGTCTCTCTTCGGCGCGCTCGAGCACGTGTGGCACCAAGAGGCTTTGATTCTTACGACCCTCACCCGCCAAGGCAGGTGTGCACTCTGCTAGTACTTGTGTACTCACACCACTACACTATGGGGTGTGCCCGAGCATGATGTATGTGCGCGTCTGTGTGTGTGTGGGACAGACGTTGTTGTCCTATGCGCGGGGCTTCCCGCGGGGACCGAAGACGTAACAGCAGCAGCAGCAGCAGCAGCAGCAGCAGCAGCAGCAGCACGGGTCGAGATAGCCGTCGCGAGACCTAAACTCGAAAATAAAATGGTGAGTTCGCCGACTCGAGTACGGTGCCTTTTATCAAACCATGCTGCGGGGTTACAAGTTGACAACTACGTCGCCACACCTTCCGCATCCATAGCGGCCGGTGGTTGCTTCTCCGGTGCTTGACGGCTGTCGCGGAGCCCGACAGCCGCGACAGCGGCGGCCGGGCAAGGAGGCGGCCGAATGGGTGCTGCTCGTCGAGCCAGCGGCTGCCGCTGGCGACGAGGGGGGTCCGGACCCGCGGGTGGGGCGGGTGGTGCACCGGCTCGATGCCGGGCGAGCGCAGCGCCCTCCAGTCGGAGCGGCTCGGGCGAGCGAGGCGGTGGCTCTATGGGCGTTTAGAGGGTCGCCCATCGCTTCTCGCAACTCCGCAACGCTGACTTTGGCACATCGACGATACAGCCTCGAATATTTCTCAGATTTATTTTGCATGACCTTGAGCACTTGAGCACTGGATAGGGTCGGTTCCGCATGGTACGGGACCCCTCGATCGTCTCGCCCTCCCTCACTGGTGTGTTCATTGGGG